GAAGTTTACAATTAATCAACATTTGACTCACTAATCACCAAACAGTGAATTCCTAATTTACAGAGGATCTTATTAACACATCATATAAACACATTAATGAACTTGCTTAAGAATGATATTTATTGTCTTTAAATAAAATTAAAATTTATTAATTGAGCTTCTAATAAAGTGTTACCAAATTTTCTAACATTCTGTTAATTTCCCATGTAATCAAAAGTCCCATGACAGCAAAATACTTATCACAATTTAAGTGCTACTTTTAATAAAAAAATTGATTGAACTTGAAAAATTCTTGAAAAGTTCTAAAAACTCACTTTTAGTAAAAAACAAAATAGATTTAACATGATATATTAGAAACACTTCTGAAACCACTGTGAAAACAGTTCATCACTGCATCCACAAATGTAAGTTTAAACTCTAAAACACAAAGAAGAAACCAAATATAAACAGGATCCACAAACACTGCCGCCTTCTCTGGGCCCGAGCTCATTTAAAATGGACTGAGGTGAAGTGGAAAAGTGTCCTGTGGTCCAATGAATCAACATTTGAAATTCTTTTTGGAAATCATGGACACTAATGGTGAATGATATATACATGTTCCAGACGACGTCTTTTTCAGGGAAGGCCTATTTCAGCAAGACAATGTCAAACCACATTCTGCATGTACTACAGCAGCATTGCTCCGTATTAAAAGAGTCCAGGTGCTAAACTGACCTGCCTGCAGTCCAGATGTCACCACTGAAACATCTGGCGCATTATCAAATGAAAAATACAACAAAGGAGCCCCTGAAATGTTGAGCAGCTGAAATCCTGTATCAAACAAGAACAGAAAAACATTTCACTTTCTAAACTACAGCAGTGTCTCCTCAGTTCCCAAACACTTACAGAGTGTTGATAAAGAAGAGGTGATGAAGCACAGTGGTAAACAGGCCCCCGTCCCAACTTTTTTGGAACATGTTGTTGGCATCAAATTCAAAATGGGCAAATATTTTTCAAAAGACAATAAAATTTCTCAGTTTCAACATTTGTTATGTTGTCTTTGTAGTATTTTTCTTTAAAAAATGGTTTACATGATTTACAGATCATTCCATTCTATTTTATTTACATTCTGCACAGCATCCCAACTTTTTTCGAAATGGGGTTGTAAAAAAAGGTTGAACATAATAAGTTAAGTGCTAAAAAGTCACTTTTTAGTAAATAAACTAGCTTTAAGATGACAGATTAAGTGCTAGAAACTCTCTTTTTTGCCTTATTTTGTGGTAAATTTGAACATTTTCATAGCTCAGAGCTCAGAGAACACGGACCGAGCGTGAACAGGATGGCTGTGTGGTAGTGTGTCAGTGGTGCTCTCCGTGTCTGAGATGTTATTTAGGTGAACAGGATGGCTGTGTGGGAGTGTGTCTGTGGTGGCCTCAGTGTCTGCGATGTTATCTAGGCCATACTGTCACACTGCAGCCTGTGCAGATCCCACAGTGGAAACAGATGGCACTAAAACCAGGCCACGGCTCCTCCACTCTGACCACAGTTAGCATTAGCACAGCGCTCTGTACTCACTGCACTCCTAAACACACGGTTCCCCAGGGGGTCTTTACCAAACATAAGGTTCATTTAGAACCAGGAGTTCTGTACAGAGCCATTTACATGCTTAAATGTTCTCTGCATGATGAACTGGTTCTTTAGATTGATGGAGAATGTGTTGGTTCTATGTAGCACCAAAAAAGGTTCTGCTATTGTCACGATGTCAAACTTGTATACAGAATGCTTTTGCAACACATTCTCACATGAAACCGATATTTCACTGTTATGATCATTATAGAAATCCCATATTTTGACCTACACTGATTGGTCACTTCACCTCCTTGTTTCTCCACTCACTGTCCACTGTATCGGCTCCACTGACCATATAGTCTCACTCTGTAGTTCTACAGTTACAGACTGTAGTCCATCTGTTTCTCTACGTACTGTGTTAGCCCCCTTTTACCCTGTTCTTCAGTGGTCAGGACCCCCATGGACCATCACAGAGCAGGTACTATTTGGGTGGTGGGTCATTCTCAGCACTGCAGTAACACTGACGTGGTGGTGGTGTGTTAGTGTGTGTTGTGCTGGTCTGAGTGGATCAGACACAGCAGTGCTGCTGGAGTTTTTAAACACCTCAGTGTCGCTGCTGGACTGAGAATAGTCCACCAACCAAAAATGTCCAGCCAACAGCGTCCTGTGGGCAGCGTCTTGTGACCACTGATGAAGGACTAGAGGATGACCAACACAAACTGTGCAGCAGCAGATGAGCTATCATCTCTGACTTTACATCTACAAGGTGGACTGACAAGGTAGGAGTGTCTAATAGAGTGGACAGTGAGTGGACACAGTGTTAATAACATGCCCTTATTATGTCATACTGGGTGTTTGCCTGATGTAGTTAAATAGTAATAGAAGCTCAGACTGGGTGGAGGAGTTCAGTATCTCTGATAGTCCTGATTCAGTGGTTTCTGACTCTGTATGACTCACTGTATCTATAAACCTGGACTGAAGTGCTTTAATAATTAACAAATCAGCAGCAGCTGTAGTGAAGGCTCAGTTTTGGCAGCACTTTTGTCCAGTTTTATGGATAACAGTAAGTCCTATAGAATCAAGCGATCTTGTTTAACCAGGCTGCAGTCTGATAGCTCTGAATCATCTTCTGCTGCATTTATTATCGATTATTAACTGATTATTAACTGAATTTCTCTATTACTGTACACAGCAAACAGGCTACTACTACACTGTATTATCCTGCATTACCCACAGTGTCCAGCACCCTTTTATTTTCTGAATTAAACAGACCACGTGTTTCCATTTTAGTCATTTTTATGTTCCTACACAATTTTAGAATGATAACATTTACATATTGTGAGCACATGAAGAGTGGATCGAGATAAATGGTCCAAATGAGCTCCGAATAAAATCCCTTTACCTTACATAAAAATGGAACATCTGGATTTCACAGTGTAGAAATACTGTGAGGCAGGTACAGCAGGAACGATGCACCTGAATCAGCCTTCACACTTTAAATCAAACGTTTAGTCTAAACAATGTGTTTATGTATAAAATATCAGTTCAGGTACTCATATCTGTTTAGATGGTCTTCACCTCCTGCAGCAGGTCTGTATTGAACTAAACTGCACTGCAACAAATGTCTCAATTAATAAGTCGTTGGTTCATAAGATGTTATGAAATACCTTAAATGATAATGATCATATTTCCTTTAATTCCTTATTTTATTTGTTGTTTTATTCTGTTTTATCTGAAGCTCTTGAATGATTATATTCTCAGTCCTGTGACGTCTAAATGTTCTCCTAAGCTTTATCAGCCCTTTGGAGGTTTTACAGTTTTCTATCGTGACCACTGATGATCAGTTTACAGGCTGGTGTCTCTTCACAGGAAGATGTTGTCCAGTTGCGGCTGCTGGCCAGCGGTTATTTTTGGGTCTGGAAGTGACTTGAGTACAATCGCATATGCATGTCTTAGTAAATGTTTTGGAAAATGTTTTGAAATATTTTTCTCTTTTATGTTTTTATTACTTTCTACAGTTATAATTTCGTAACTATATTTGCAAAAGCATGAGGTGCTGGTGTCCGACTCGGACAGGACTCTGTGATCACAGTCAGCCAGTCCACAGTCCAAAACCAATACACCAAAACAGGAACCATGAGGAGAGTCCAAAAAACAATGCACAAAAAACGGAAACAAGGTCAAACCAGAAATCCCATCAATACTGAGCAAAAAGGCAAGGCTGGAAAAACCAAAGCAAAGTTCATACAGAATATGGTAAACAGACAGATGGAGGGCTCTGAATAAAAAGGCAGTACTTCACACTGAGCTAAGCTAAAGCCTGGGTTTATATACTAAACCAACAGGGAACCTTAACAAGGAACAGGTGAGAGTGGTCAGTAGTCAGGTGAGGCAGAATGTTGGAGAGTCATCTGAGGGGGGTTGGTGGTCATGTGATCAGGAGTGAGGTTCTGGGTAATGGAGTCCGGAGGCTGGGAGGCAGAGACAGCGGGGACGTTCAAACTAACATTTGAAGCACTGAAGTAAAAAGATTGTAAGTAATAAAGTAAAATAAAATAAACAGTAATGAAATTAAGATCAAATAAAAAATAATAAGATTTTACAGTAAACCGCTTTTAATTGCCACTGTGTATGAAAAACACTATGCGAATAGTAAATGCGTCTAATATTTCTCATCTTAAGGTAAAATTAAAGGTAATTTAACTTAAAAAGTGCAGTTATTCAAAACAGCCATCTCAGACCTCTGAGGACTAGCATGGCTAAAAATACGTAGCCTCAGCCAAGGCCGCCGGAGCCACGGGGGGCAAACAAGCATTTCCCCACCACTTTCTGACTGAGTTTGGGTCACTTTCATAATAAATCCTCGTTTTACTTTTTATTTTTTATTTTTTATTTGAAGCTCTTGAATCATATCACATCTAAATGTTCTCCTAAGCTTTTTAGGCTCTTTGGAGGTTTTAGTTTAGTGGTTGGTATCACTTCACAGTTTGTGCTGGTCAGCGCTAATTTTGGAGCTCTTCCTCACTCAGGGTTCTGGAAATGACTTGATACAATCGCATATGCAGAGAAAGTCAATCCCTATTTCAGCTGGGGGGCGGGACTTTTCCCGAACAGTAAAGCCTCGGTGAGTTGCTGTTCAGCGAGAGGAGCTGCTGCTCACTGATCTGGTAAACATGTTTCTGCTGAGGTACAGGAGCTGATGCAGTGAGCCACGGTCTGAATTCACTGAAGGTCAGTTTTAAAGGGGACCTATTGTGCTCTCCCAGTGTTCCTCTTTCCTTTAGTGTGTTGCAGCTTTTTGTGCATGTAGATGTTCTGCAGCGTCCCAAAGCCAAGCGTTATACAGAGACGTGTTACTAGCGTGACACGGCAGGTAGCTGCAGTCGCTCAGTCAGCGGGCCGCTTGCATTATGTGTCACGTGGCTGTCTTATTGTTGTTTTAAACAGGTTTTGTCATGTTTGGCTGCGTGACACCACCCTGGGCACCTTCTTCAAGGCTGAGCTCTGTCTATACTTGTCACCTCTGAAACTTTAAGGAAGTGGAGTGACCCGAATGGATGACTTATTACATGCTGATTAATGTGCAATGCAGAGATAGGGAACTCAGGAGCCGAGAGGAGATCTCTCACTGCTTTACTCCTCACTGAGCAGGAGAGGAGGCTTCCTAACTCCACAATCCTGTTTACTTTGTGTTCTGAAAACTTCCTCAGATCCCCTTCCTGTACACCCTGAGCACTGGAGCACAGCCGCAGAGGGTCCGGAGAGCGAGGGGGTCGTTTACTTAGAGCCTCAGAAGATGTGATAATGAAGGATGTGCCTGAAAACCGAGGTGGGTTCTGTTTTACTCTGTGTTCAGCTCCGCTCTGGTGAGCCTGAGGGAGTCCTGTTGATTAGAGAACGGAAATGCCTGATTTTAAGAGTAACAGTGTGATGTCTATTACAGGCAGGCTCATCGGAAAGCACTTCACAGAATAGACTGTGTTAATGGAATTAGATTTGCTGTTTTAAAGCTCAAAACTAAACGTTTTTACACAATGACAATCAGAAAAGACTGTTTCTACACCATTAGCTCAGAACTCAGACAGCTTTGTGTTGAATTATAGTGTAAAATGTGTAATCAGGTGAGTCATGGCTGTGGATTAGCTCCATATTAGCTTCTTGCATTACAAAACAACCCAGCCATGTATTTAATAGAACACCACAAAACTATTCACTGCCTCTAACAAACTGTAAAACCAGTATAATCTACAGTAATCTATCACAGGTAAGACATATTAGTTAAAGTCAATCACTATATGGGTCATTCTACAGAAACGTCCACTTTTCTGTCTCTCCATAGGAGTCACTGGTGTTACTGATCCTCATTGGTGTTCCACATAATAAAGGAACACCAGAGACATTTTAATGAACAATGCATTTTACAGAATAACTGCTACAGAGCATCAAACCACATGTTGTCAATCGTGGAATATCCACTAAAATATGGAATTTAATCCATTTGTGTTCTATTTTTTTCACACTTACCTCAGAATAAAGTCGGTCACGCCAGTGACTTCAGCTAAAAGCTTCATATGAAATCATGAGCTAAATGAGAAAATCTCTGATAACTGAAAGACACAGTGGACTCACCATGTGCTTTTCTTCATAGATCCTCAGAAAACAGGTAAAAGGAAGTGAAGTGATGTCATCAGTGTGACTTTTATTTCAAAATAAGAGATTTTTTGTTACGCAGTAACACCAGTGACACGACTCCTGGGGACAACAGCTTTCATTATATATTTTATAATATTTATTTGGCATTTGTTTTCTTATGTCATTTAATTTATATATATATGTCATAGTAATGTATAGATTATTGTAGTTAAAATTGCAGAAAAACGTTTTTTACTTCAAAATATGGATGCTGAAGAAGGTGTAACTGTTAAAATAACTTATTGTTTTATTTTAAAATATAAATAAATTGTAACCCCAACATGTTTTTCAAGTGTAATATGTCTTTAAACGCTAAGGACACAAAAATGGACGTTTCTGTAGAATGACCCTTAACTTTGGACCCAAATATAGCCAAAAATGGCCACTGAAAAATTTTCATCACAAATACCTCCAAGCATGAAATATAACCGTAATAAAGACCATCATGTGATGTGATGGCACTTACCACCAGCATTACAAGAGCACAAACTGGAAATGAATGAAGAAAATCAGTTTATTTTGTTATGTATGAAAAGATGACGACATTAAAATACAGGAAGACAGGACCTCTGGCTATTTCTCATCTTATGTCATGTTCATGAATCATAATTTCCCAGATGAGAAGCTCCCGCTTCTCACCTCAGTGTGCTCTCTCAGTTTCAGTCGTCTGCGGTCAGATGATTAACAGGCATTTCCCAAGAGTTCCCAATCGCAAGCTTTGTAAATATTTAGGCCTCTCTATATTTTAATTATTTTTATTTACTTTTATTTTATGTACTTCTATGTTTTTATTATTTTCCACTTTCTGTTAGTTATGCTTTTGTTACTATTTTTGCAAAAGCCTTTCTGAGGAGCTGGATCTCAGTACTGTTATAAGCTTATTATTCAATGCTATTAATTTTTGTGTAAAACATATTGAATTGGCATTGTGTATGAAAGGTGCTGTACAAATAAACTCGCCTTGCTTTGCCATAAAAACCTTAAAATACACTATTACGTTTTGCTGCCATAGAGGTTGTAACTCTTTCTGCACTGTTAGAAATGAAGGTTCTGTTCAGGTACATTTTTCATTCATCAAGGTACAAACAGTGTAAATGTTCCCTCAAAGCTCCAACAGTGGTTTTAAGGTCTGATTGTGAACCTTAAATAAGTTTTTCCAGGTGAAAAGTTTGTATTTGTACCTTTTCATAACCGAATGTTTTAAACAGAACAGTAAAATAAAAGCCTGGAGACGAGACGGGGTGTGTGGAGTCAGTACAGCTTAGAACATATCATTTCAGTGGATTATGGTTCAGTTATGTTCCCTGACTAAAGGTACTGAGATGGAGCCTTGAGGGTTCCACCCCAGTGACAAGAGGGGAACTGACCCAGAGACAGTTTAGTACCTTTATTTCTGGGGGGGGGATTATGAGTTTGAGGACATTAAGTCAGTCTTTATCATTCTTGGAAGTTGAAAACTTCCATATTCTCTGACTCTGTCGTGAATGCTGGATTAGTCAACTGTGGGACAAATTTAATTCTTCCACTTTTTTTTCGTGTTTGGTCCCATTTTGTTTGGCAATGATTGGCAATGCTGTTAACTATGATTAGTCAACACTCCAAATGCGTCTCCTAAAGAAGATCAAATCTGACTCACCTGCCTCAGATCAACATGACGGATCCCCTGGCTCAGCTAAAGCAAATGATAAAGGCTGAGCTTTCTGTGATGAGGGGGGGGATTCGCAACCCACATGTCTATGATTCAAAGCGGGTGTTTAGAGCTTGGCTGACCTTACAGGCCATCAGAGAGAGCAGAAGAAGGTTCTGTCAGAGCTCTCATGTCACTCGGAGGCCCTTGAACAGAACGTGGTTAGACTGCACGACTAAAGCAGCAAGATCTCAGCAGGCCCTGCGCCTTCATCTTCAAGCTACTACGTTACAATGACCGGGATGGTGAATATTTTACCTGGAATTCGTTTTTTAGTTACATGATTACCTACATGACCTCCTCTCATGGAGTACTGGACAACACTTTCTCAAACACTGTCCTCATATATTTGGATTGGCAAACGACCACGGATAAAAATGTCCACCAAATTTCATAACATAAGCTCAAAACTTCACCCTTAGTCAGTTTGGCTAAATCTAAATACTTCAACGCCCTGGCGTTCGGTGGAAGAGTCTCTTGTAGCTCTTTATAGGTTACAGGATCTTATATTTTATGATGTTCCTGCTAGACTCTGTAAACTGCACTTTGGACCCATAACGTCTCACCTCATGTCAACATGGCGAAAAGCAACCGGACTCGAATATGAAATGGCGTTATCACTCTCTCCACTCTTGCACTATCACAACCTGCTGATAGAGAATTCTCTGTTTCGCTGCACCCAGAGGGATCAGGAGTTCCAGAGGCCGTGTTTGGGAAACCATCTGTTTATCTTCAGGAAACCCAAATCACCAAATGAGACACTGGAAATTCTGAAATAGATTTTATTTGACACCATTAAGGCGGTTTCATATGAATCTTACAGAGTCTCCAGTTTGTAATTTGTGCTCCTCGGGGGAGCGCCCGCACTTTTTTACATTACTTTTGGTTTTATTACAAGGTCATTAAGTTTTGGCTTCAGGTTGACATTATTTTTCCTCACTTAATCTCTCAGTTCAGCAGAAACGACTGTTGCACTTTAACAGCTGCAAAAAAATTGCTGGTCAATCGATGGAATCCTCCTCACTCCATCTCAGGACGGAAATGTCTTCTCTTCATATTATTTCACTGGAACATTCAGTCGGGGCTTAGTCGAGAACTACTGATGGAAGAAGGCGCTCTAATCAGTGGAGTCTTTACTAAGCTCTTGTTAGAGTTGTCATTATTTATCGGTTGTTTTTTTTTATTTTAAAAAAATTCCCACCTGTTAACCCACGTATGTATTTGTGTATTGTTTTGGTCTTTTGTTTTAATGAAGCTATGTTATATAATATATAAGGGGAGGGGGAGGTGGGGAGGGAAAGGGTATTTTCTGTGATCTTATGTTATCATACATGCCAACATATGTTAAAAGAAAATGAAACAAATGTTCACAACAATTCTTTCACTTTCACATCAACTCACCATCTCCTTTTTAGGAATAAGAGTGAGTGATTAAATGCTAAGAAGTATATATAGATCAGGAGTCACAGGACAGAGATTATGTGAGACAGAAAGCAAACTGGAAGAGCTTTTTTTAATAAAAACTAGTGGGCCAAGAACTGAGCCCTGGGGAACACCATAGAAGATGTAGTTCAAGAAGATGGGTTCAAATATGCCAGGATCGACATTGATCCCCATCCTTTGGATTGTAGTGGGGCATCTCTACCGATCTTAACTGGTCTAGTCTATGAAACACTGACTCTCAGTCAGAGCCATGATATACAACTGGGCTAAAACATAGCAGTGAACAGAAGATGGATAACGTAAGCTGGTATACATGTGCATTCTTATTTAACTCAAATGACCACCTTTTTGTTTGTACTGTGCTTTTCACATTGATGTAGCTGCTTCTGAATGTTGAGTGGTGGTAGAAACATTTACCTTTTACTTCTCTTTTCTCTGCAGGATACAGGATGATGAATATGAAGCACTGCCTAGTAGTTTTCAGTCTGCTGCTGTGCTTTGGAGTAATATTCTACATATACTACAAGCCAACCATTAGCTGGTTGCCGTGTCCTGAAGTCACAGTGTCCGTACATGATGTCTGTATGGACGCATGCTTCGACGTCTTCAAGACGGAGAACCTTATCCAAAATATAAACAACACCTGTACACTTAATTACACCTTAGTGAAGCAGCAGATATCAAACAAGCAGCTCGATGACACTGAAGAAAAAAATAAGAAACTCCATCAGTCTGATACCATCATTCTAATCTGGGTTTGGCCTTTTGGTCAGAGTTTTGATGTGGGTTCCTGTGATGCACTGTATGGCATCACAGGCTGTTATTTAACAGCCGACCGAAGTTTCTATGACAAAGCCCATGGCGTGATGTTCCATCTCAGAGACATTTATGGTCACTTACCAAACCTGCTGAAAATGCCACGACCTCGTCGGCAGAAGTGGGTGTGGATGAACATGGAGTCTCCAGACAATGCAGCAAGACTCAGCGCTCCAGACCTGTTCAATCTGACGTCAAACTATCGGCGAGATTCGGACGTCTGGGTGCCTTACGGACAAATCGTAGAAGCTTCGGAGGAGGACAAAGTCTTTCAAATACCGGAAAAAAACAAATTAATCTGCTGGATCGTCAGTAACTGGAACAATAACTTTAAGCGGGTAAAATATTTTAACGAGTTAAGCCGCCATATTAAAATCGAGGCCTACGGACGCTATTTCGGGAAATACGTGAGCGACGAAAATTATCCTGAGATTGTGTCGAGCTGCAAGTTCTACCTGTCGTTTGAGAACTCCGTCTATAAAGACTACATCACAGAGAAGCTCTTCAACCCAATGAAACTCGGCACGGTTCCCGTGGTTCTTGGTCCGTCCAGGGAGAACTATGAGGAATTCGTACCAAAAGATTCCTTCATCCATGTGGACGATTTCAAAACACCTCAAGAACTGGCAGAACATCTCAAACTTCTGGACCAGAACCAGGAGATGTATGAACAGTACTTTCGTTGGAGGAAACACTTTGTGGCCAGGGGTTCATATTTTGGTTTGGAGCATGCTTGTCGTATTTGTGATCATGTCAGAAGAAATAAGGGGTACAGAGTGTTTAAAAATCTTGACAAATGGTACTGGGGCTAGTTGGCTTAGTCCAGCCTCAAGATACGCTGCTCTGGAGACGATCAGTGAGGAGCTGACTATTGACGTTTACTAGCCAGCAGTCATGTGGCATCTTTTGAATTTGGCCAGTTTTATAGGTCCGTTAGAAAAAAAATTACAGAAATCAAATGTGTAAATAAAGAGGGATATATATATATATATAGAAATCGATTTTTTAAATGATTTTTATGCTGCCATTAATTCATTATTTATTAATTTTTACAGTGTTTTTGATTAGATTTGGTTACTAGACGTCGATTCTTTCCTAAGCCATGATGGAAATAGCACTGATGACTCAATTAATTTCTAGGGTTGAACAATTTGGGGTAATATAATTATAATTATAATTGTTCTGAGCAATTTTGCTATTTCAGTGTGATTATGTTTTATAAATTTAGCTCCAGGTTTTTTTTCCACCAAGAAGATTTCTTCAGGATCAAACTTGAACATCAAACATAATCTGCCAGACTGCTAGTTTATGAGCTTTATGTAATTATTTTAAATTTACCGAATTAAAATGTTGAATATTATGAGGTCTAATTAAAATCACAATTTGAAAACTGCACTAAATTGTGATTTTGATATAAAAATAATTAATTGTTCAGCCTTATAGTGCTGTATAAACCGAGAGCACCTGAAAGCAGAATCTCCACAAGAAACTGGGAAACACTTGATTACGCTGTCCAGCTTGAAACTGTTTACAGTCTAATTATCAAACTAGTTGAGATAGCTGTGCCTGTAGGTGGAGTTTGAGCTGTGCCTTTAGGCAGAGTTTGAGTTGGAGTGGGGAGTGCACGGCTCCCCCTACTGACTGAACTTTATAGTTCAATAGTCAGGCGTTATTATGACCACTGGAAAGAATAAAATATGAAATAAACTAAATGCCTCAGTGTTTTTAAGACGGTAGAATGGTGTGACTGTAATTATTTTCCTAAGTTAACATATTTAAATGCTGTATTGTTGCAGTGTACGACATTGGCTGTGCTTTGTTTTGTTTTTTTTGTGTTTATTTTGTGGGCGGAGTCAGTAGTATAAAACAATAGTACAGTGTGATTTGCCCTTGAATGAAACCTGGAATAGTTTCAGCATTTGTTTGTATCAATAAAGTAAGTACATCCACGTTTGTACTGGATTACTATGAACACAAATTATTACTATCATTGGTTCTCCAATCTTCTGGTAAGTGTGTTCTTGAGAAAGATCCTAAGAAACAGTCTTCGTCAGATTCATGACGTGTTCTTAAAGCGCAGAACTGTTCTACCTCTGTGCTCTTCAGTGTGTGTAGATTCTGTTCTCACCTAAGAACAAATCCCAGATAAGAGAACACTGGTGAATCAGAATCTTCGTCAAAACTGCGTAAGTGGGTTTTAAAGAGAATTTTCTTCGTAAGAACGCTTGGTGAATTATTTTCAGTTTTTATCCTTATTATTGGTATTATAGAAAATATTTACACTAATTTGAGTTATTAAACTATTATAAAAATTTTAAACAAATTTCTATAGTAATTTCTACGATTTCTATTCTAGTCTTTCTGCAGTGCCCCCTAGTGGCCATTCCACCAGCAGAATGGAAATCGGCTCAGAGAGTTTAAATGAATATAATTATTTTATTCTTTTTTTATTAGGACACTGTCAGTGTGAAATGTTGTGACTCTGTGTGGAGCTGTTAGTGAGCAGTGAGGGGTGAAAGGGAGGATAAGAACTCCCTGCTGTGAAAAACTGTTCACACCTCTCCACAAATCTGGCCATGCTGAGTTAAAACGGACGACTGCAGGTTTCAGCATATCAATCACACAATAAACACAGCATTTAAACAAATAACACTTTGAGAAATGTTGACTTGCTCGCTGGATCCAGCTTCTGTTTTTTAAATCAGTCATATTAACATTCAAATATATTTCATAAACTTTTATATAAACATTTATACGTTTTTAAAAAACAACCGGTGAAAATCACATTGAATGGCTGTTGAAAAGGATTAATGATTTCTGTTGTTCCAGAAGTGCTTTGTGTTACAGTTAAGCAGTTGAAACTGTAATGGTACAAAATGTTTACATCAGTCAGACCCTGTTTGATATCAAAAGCTGTAAATCAGAAGTTGATTGATTTCAGAAGCTGCAGTCAGTTAATCCTTACAAAACTCATGATTCCCAGCTTCAATCAGGGCCTCGGACTGATATGAACTTTTGTCACACAACTGAACTCAAAATTCCAATTACAAAATTATCAGCCAAGAAAACTTTTATACAACTGAAAGACAATAGTGTTGAATGCTTTATATGTTTGAGGGTAAAACTGTCAAAAATTCTCATCATTCTTAAATTCAAATACACAACAATAATTAGCAAAATCTTAATTATTACAAACACTGTAGCTTAGAAAAGGGCAATTCTGTCTGTTCGTTACTGTGTCAAACACGCCTTTTATGGATACTGGTGTTTTATCAGCAGTGTTGGAACAGATGGATCTCATATTATTTTTAAACTAACTAGCAAAATGCGAATCCATAACTATTATTGGTATTTCACATTATTATGAATAAAAATATATTTGATATACACTTCAAATCAGGACAGGGTTGGTTGTCAGCCGTTAGCTGTCAGAGTAACTGCATTTACACGCACTGTAGTGGGTCGATTTTAGCCTTAGGTTGCATTCAGACTTGGCAGGTTTGGTTGGATTAAGCGATAATATAGACCGAAGACGTCTAAATGGATCAAAGACTGAAAGAACCATCGTCTTCCCTCCGTAGAATCTCTCTGATTTGTGGAAAAGACAAGTTTCTGATGCTGCCTTTATGTGGGCGTGTGTTTATCATCTCCTCATCAGCTCTGAATCTGTAATTACAGACTGGATAGTTTGGGTTTTGAAACAATAAGTCACTGAAGTCATTATAAAATACTCCATATACACATTTGATTGTACACATAAATGATATTCTGTGTTAATGTGCTGCCGTTTCTCCATTCTGTAAAAGCAGTGAGCCACTCGAAGCTGAGGGTCTCACAGCTTACTGTTCTAACATCATGTAAAAAGAGCCAGCGGGCCGTCAACTTTTACTCGCATCACTTTTGTTTACATTTTCGTTTGATGTTAAATTTGTCAGTGTGAACGCTAAACAAACCAGTTCTATCCAAGACATGTTTACAATCTTAAAGTCATGCTATGTTAGCATTCACGTGTGTGCAGGCTGAAGGTTTTAGGTCTACTGCCTGGACGATGGCTAAGGGTGGACCTCAAGGATCAATTCTGGGGCCTCTGCTTTTTTACTGTACATATTAATAGTCTTTGTCATAATATGCCAAATGCAAATTTTCATTGTTATGCTGATGATACTCTCATCTTCTGTTCAGCACCTACTCAAAACCACGCTTTGTATAACTAACAAAATATTTTTAATATTATACAGTGCAAACTTTATAGTCTCGAACTTGTTTTAAATGCTGACAAAACTAAAACAATATTCCTTATAAAAGTCTTTTTTTATCCTTTGATGCTGAAAAGAAACTTATTTCTGCTACTTTTTTACCAGTAAATGATTACGGAGACATCATTTACATCATTTACCTTTGGTTAATTAGTTTTCCTGTTAGAATAAGGCGCAGATCTGTCCTACGGTAATCTGGGAATGTTGGTGCTGAACTAACTATCTGTCCCTCTTATCTCCCCCTCCCCCCCACCCCCCACCCCCCACCCCCCTTTCCCTGAGCAGAGCGGCTGCCTGTCCTAAGAGGGTCTGACCTGAGATGCGGCCGGCGCTCTGCACAGTGGTGTTAAACTGTATCCACTTATACTGTTTTGTGTCTGTGCTGTTATCCGGTGTCGACCAGAGGAGGATGGGTTCCCCTTTTGAGTCTGGTTCCTCTCGAAGTTTCTTCCTCCTGTTGAGGGAGTTTTTCCTTGCCACTGTTGCCAAGGCTTGCTCACTGGGGGCGTGGACCCGGATTCTCTGTAAAGCTGCTTTGTGACAACATCTGCTGTAAAAGGCGCTATATAAATAAATTTGACTTGACTTGAATTGACTACAGGCATGCTTGTACTGCTCATGCACATTAAACACTTTATCATTAAGACGCTTTAAGATTTAAAAGCAAAAATAGGATCTTCAGACAGTAGAAGTGGGTAAAACTGTGTATCAGTGTTTAAAATGATTTATTGGGGGTTTATGATTATTGAATCGTCTGTTTTACGTTTGTAATGTATTATTGTTTGCTGCCTGTCTTATGTATATGAAACTCTTTCTGAACATGGTTGTGGTTGGATCGTGAAACACTGTACTGAAAGCGGGAACGGCTTACGCCACATCCAGAACACAAAAAGGGGAACAGTTCACAGACAAAACAGGAAAAGCAAGTCATTCTGTGGTCAGCGACGCGGCAGAGCTTCAGTCTGGACCGCACGAACACTTCTGCCTCCGTCCGGCTCCCTTCATCCTGCTGAGGTCATTCAGACTGACTGCTGTCCACCTGTTCATCACGTGATCGGCCGAGATCAGCTGTGCGAGAATGATATAATCAGCACAACAGCTTCTTTACCATGTTCTCCTTTTCGCACAGCTGCTGTTCCAGAGTCACTTCACAAAGTTACTACAGTTAGTTGACTACAGTTACACTACGCTGGTGTGAGAGATCAATACAGACTAATTACTATCATTCACTACAGGACACTACGCCGGCATAGTAGATCATTACAGACTAATTACTATCGTTCACTACAGGACACTACGCCGGCATCGTAGATCAATACAGACTAATTACTATCGTTCACTACAGGACACTACGCCGGCATAGTAGATCATTACAGACTAATTACTATCGTTCACTACAGGACACTACGCCGGCATAGTAGATCATTACAGACTAATTACTATCGTTCACTACAGGACACTACGCCGGCATAGTAGATCAATACAGACTAATTACTGTCGTTCACTACAGGACACTACGCCGGTGCCGTAGATCATTACAGACCAATTACTATTGTTCACTACAGGACACTACACCGGCATCGTAGATCAATACAGACTAATTACTGTCGTTCACTACAGGACACTACGCCGGCATCGTAGATCAATACAGACTAATTACTATCGTTCACTACAGGACACTACGCCGGCATCATAGATCAATACAGACTAATTACTATCGTTCACTACAGGACACTACGCCGGTGTGAGAGATCAATACAGACTAATTACTGTCGTTCACTACAGGACACTACGCCGGCATCGTAGATCATTACAGACCAATTACTATCGTTCACTACAGGACACTACACTGGTGTCGTAGATCATTACAGACCAATTACTATAGTTCACTACAGGACACTACACTGGTGTCGTAGATTTTTACAGACTAATTAATATTAAGTACAGCTGCAGCTAATCTGACTGATTAGCCGTCTTGCTTGCTAACTAGCTGAACTGGGTAACACTTGCAAAAACAATAGCTGTGTGTGAACAAGGTCCCTTGCTCAACTCTACATTAGAAATCTGAATCCCTGTATAGAGCTCTGTTATAGGGAACAGGGCAGATGATGGCAGTAAGGGATTTAGGACATCTTATGGCTTTTTACTATAACCTCCTACACTCAGTCCATTAAAACTGCCCACTAAGTTTATTAGAACCATTAGGGAATTGGGAAGCGGCACACTGGAGACCACTCGAGACCACTGTTTTCCTGTAGAACAGTTTTAGATGTAATCAAACATTTCCTGGTTCTCTTGGCCTTCATGAATAAGCGAACAGCAGCACTGGTGTATCTGTATTTACACAGCGTTGCTGGGTGAACTCCCCTCTTATCTGTGTAATTTTTTATCACGTGAAAACGGCTGCTGTGATTCTCACTCCTCTATGAGGCTGCTGCTCTATGACGAAGCCAAGATCAGCTCAGAACTGGGTCATGGAATGACCTTCAGAACAAACTGCAGCGAAATGAATTTGTCACCCTGACTGAACTTAAAGCTTTACAAAAACTATAACTGCTGTGGTTTGTACTATGGAACTGTTTCTGTTCTACTGAAATTGTCCCGTGTTTTGTTCTTTTCCTGTAACTGGAAACATTGGGCTGTCTTGGCTGCGTCTCCCACAAGACAGAGATTTTAATCTTAACGGACTTCCTGGTTCAACAGAGGATAAATAACA